TTGACACTAACCGTTGGTGCTTGCAAGGTGCGGCAAATGTCGTTGATTGATAGACCGATCGGTCAGAGTTTCTCGAGCTAGTCGAAGTCCAGAAAATTGAGAATGAAACGATTCACGTAGCAACTAGTATCGATCGTGGCTTGTAGACTGGACACACGGCAGTGCAGTTGCATGCTGAACTGCATGGAACCGCTGCAGGCGCTCATCGCAAACAACGACGAGGATTGGATCGCTGGCGAACCCACTGCTCACCAGGTGTCTTCGGAAATGGTTACATCGGAGGCGGTATCCAATTTTAACCGTGTTGGACAGTCACTGATATCGACCGTGACGAATTTTCGGCGGTCAATGCTATTGAGTTTGAAGGGTGCGGACAAACTGTAAGAGTGAGCGCCAGAGTCACTCTCGTTTGGCTTGGGTTGGCTGGAGGAAGGATTCGTTCGGTTGTAACTGCGTCTTTGGCAGAATTAACCTTTGTGGTACCGCCGAACGGTGCTGGCGGAACGGGCAGTGTCGGTGGAAGTGTCAATCCCCACCTTGCCGACATGTGGACGGCGGCCTGTTGGCGTTGATAACTGAACTGGTTGAGTGGGAACGATCGCCAGTTGATCACTGGAGTGCGGACACTGCGTTCACCAAAAGGTTGGAACGTTGGCATGTTGGATGAGGGCCGAGTCGCATGTCATACTTTCCTTATTCTTCGCCATCATGCCATCAACGACAATAATTTCAACCTATGTATTGTGGTTGGTCAATAGGTTTTTACCAGCACCAACACTTACTAGTCACGAGTGGGTGTTTATGTGACCGAAAAAATAAACCCGAGGTTAAGACGAAATCAGTCCGCAATCAAATGATACCGTGAACACCATAAGCGGCAGTTAGCTGCCAGATCTCCGAAAAACCCCCATACATAATTTCCGAACCCCCAGTAGGAAGAGGTGCGTTCTGTACGATATATCCGGATAGTTTTAAATATCTTTTTTGCATCCACGTCATACTTCCACCTTCACTTTGAAGCACCAACTGCCAATAGAAAGCGCGGTGGAGGGCTTAAGAGAAACTCTGATCCTAAACTGTGAAGTGAACCTAATGGGTGTGGACCACTGTGACAAGCTAACTTAAAACTATAGACAAATCAGATACGCAGGTATTACATTGATCATTGCTGACTCAACAACGTAGTCCGGTACTACTTCGAGCATTTAAGTACCCATTTAGCGACGAGATTCACACTGAGAGTCGAGGTTAACAACTTTTCTGAACTTCTAGGTGTGAAAATAAGCCCCATAGATGACCGTCGCGACGAAAAAGGTCCCGCAAACGTAATTAAATGCCACTCCTTATGCACGTCATCTTAATCTAGTAACGTGTTCAGTATATATAATCAGAATCATCTGTAATCTCAAAACTGGCGAGCTAAAAGATCTATGTGACTAGAACAAAACGATGCCCAGGGTAGCTTTCCGAAGATATTTTGCATGGCACATCTTTGTGTGATGAATAGTGGACAGTAATTCCCCAAGTCAATAAGACCTGCTGTTCAACCATAGAAACCGGCAACCCAAACCTTGGGACTAGGAGTGACGAAACACAAGGTCCGGTTGGAGTCATGGTTCAGATGACCAAAAAGATCCACTTCGCCATTATTTTCAAAAGGCTAAGCCTGTCAATATTACAGAATAAAGTCCAACAGAAGTTATTGATATTCCCTCCAGAGAGCGTGTGACGATCGTGCCTATTACTAAGCCAATATTTGGTTTGCCAAAGAAAGATTCCCAGTAACCTGTCTTTGACTCACATGAATTTGCGGCACTGGGCTCATTGAGCAAACGATTAGGGGAAGATAAAATAACAGCAGAGTACAACTCGGTTTCTCTAGGGAAAGGCATGAGTTCAATGATCAGTATCCGGTTAATCGTGGATAAAAACTACGTGCCGGTTGTTATTATTGTTATCGTTACCATCATTGCAAAGCGAAATAAAGCGGGGTGAATTTCACTGATCGCAGCCCAATTCACAATGCATTCGAAGACGAACAGGGATTGCGTCCATTTTGAGGGATAAGACAGGAAAGCGAACCTGCGGTCAACAGACCGAGTATACAGTCTAGCACTGTGGTCTGATAAGAAATGACAAGGTCACTGCTGTTGGTTTGCTGATATGTCCCTCAGAGGACGGGACGAAGTATTGTTTAAGCGTTTAGGATATTAGTATTGAAAATGATAGCATAAAATATTAAAATGCTAAAGTGATCCATGAGTCACTCCTGTCTAAAACAAAAAATATAACGCTATCTTGGGTTTTATGCCCAAGGATGCCCTAACAAGTGATGGCCTGAGCAGAATCAGGCAAAAGTCCCCGGTGTTGCAATCTGGTTTACCAACTACAGCCTCAGAGGCAAACGGGGGGGGGCAGCAGGCGCAGATTTAATTACCGTGACTGAGACTTCGGATTAGGAGCGATTACAGGAGCACACTGAATACAAACAAGATACAGTTGACGGGAGGCAAGGAGGGTGGAGTCTTTTTAACGATGCGTTCTACTTGTCACCAATGGGAGCGGTCACTGCAGCTGGAAACTCCTAACATTCAGGTTACTGCTTGCTATCTAAGAGTTGGATCGGGACCAATGGGCATTGCTTGCATTTATAAGGCGCTTAGTTCAACTATGGTAGAGGACAATGTACTCCTGCATACCTTACAAAAGGTGATTTAACGGACCCATAGATTTCCTATCGTGAGTCAGATAGGTTGAATTAGTTTGGAAGAACGAGCTCCCAGAGGAACTACGGGATGGGTGCTGCTGGAGTGACTTCATTTCCGCGCGCTTTTGCAGCAAGTGAGGGAGCCTATCCGGTTCGTTTTCAACCAGACTTTCAGTCCTCGACTTCGCTGCACTTAGAGCAAGGTCGGATTTCATTTGTATCAATAAAGAGGTCCCACTAGGGAAGTGAACAAGCTGTCCTTTAGCTTAATATACTTGCGGAATACAGTAAACCGGGGATCAAAATGGTCCGCTGTATGGGGGTGTGCATGAGGAGTCTTCAAGCGGTATTGTTAGGTTTCGACCGGGAGATGCTCAGCGATAAAAGGTCGTTTACCGAGGAGTTTACAACACGGGTTTAGAAGACTCAGGCAACGACCATGGTGGAAAGCGTATTTAGACAGCACTGGCCACAGGGAGTCGAAAGTGATACAAGCAAACCAGAAAGCGCTGACAGGCGACTTGTCTCAAGTGAGGATAACAAGGCGAATACACTTTGCACAAATCTGGGTTTAAGCAGAAGGCGAAAACTATAGACCATTAATTTGACGTCGGTCTTATGCAAATGTCTAGAAAGGACAGTACGTGACCATACGGGCGCGTACCCTGTGGGGATAGAAGTGCTAACGCCAGCTCAATATGGCTGTATCAAACGGAAATCACACTTATCGAATTTGGTGGTTTTTCTTAATGAAGTTAAGCGTCGCCTACACGAGGGTCTGCTATCTGGACTCAAGCAAAGCTTTCGACTCCGTAATCCATCAGGCGTTAGATCAAAAAATACAAATCCTGGGAATTGGAGGAAGAGTGAGAAAAATGGCTTCCTAGCAAACCGCGCTTTCGAAATCAAGGTTGGTACGCACTTATCAGTGCCGGAAATCATGACTAGCGGTGTCCCTCAGGCTAGACCCACTATCGTTCCTAATGTTCGTCAATGACTTACCACGGGAAATCAACAACCCGTGCTTCATGTTCGCGGACGAAGTCAAGGTGGCGGGAGCGATTGTATATCAGGATCTGCAAGTTGTTATAAGGTGGTCCGAAAAGTGGGATCCTCCTCTTAACCTATCCAAGTGTCATCTTCTGACCACAGAAGTTCAACTTGGCAATAAGAATGGAATTGATCTCAAGAGAGGAAGTGAAGTTAAGAACCTGGGAGTCATTGTATCATATGACCTCATATGACCTTCAACGATGTCAGAGGGCAGTTAACATAGCTCGTAAGGAACGTTTTCGGTTACACGGTAACGTGTAGGATACCCGAGATTCTCATCCCTCCACATAAGGTCATAGTTAGGCTGTACTTAGAATATTGTGAGCAAGCACATGCACTCAACTTTCGGAAAGAGAGTGAGTGTCTAGAAAGAGTGCAACGTCTGGCCACAATGATGATGACGGGACAGAGGCTCAAGGACCATTATGTTCTCACTGGGAAGAAGGAGAATCAGGGGGGACCTCATCGAAGTATTCAAGATTATAAACGGTCACTCCGAAATCAAGTTTGACGATATAACCCATTTAATCCCTTCAAGTGGCATTACAGGGCACAGTGTGAGAATGTAGCGTAGTCTTAGGATTGGACATACGAGGTACGTGGTACTATACTGGAACAGTTCACCTGAAGAGGTTGCAAGAAACTCAAATTGCATAGCCTTCAAGAGGTTTTTAAATGATTTTTGGGCTTCTTTAATCCCAGTAACAGTTTAAAGGCATGTACCTATTTGTCATGAGCTTCATTACCTTGGACATGATACTGCGCTGCACATTTTGCCTTTCAGACAAAACCTATTGATCCGTGTTGTTGGAAGCCTCAAGATCAACCGACAGCAACTATCTGGACGAACGATAGGTCTAGGCTAAACAATGTCTTACGTAAGCGGAAATACCACACCTAACCTATTGGGGCCCTTATGCGGTTCGCCACTCCAAGTCCCGGGATTAGGTTGACGGTTACCATCACTGAACAGCATGTCCTGGTGACTATGGGGTTAGCCCCGTCTGCTGTTCAACACACCTAGGTGTGTAACAAAAGAGTCTGAAAGATGTGAAATACCTACTCTACCTCATCGGTTTGTGCAGATCTTCATGTCTCATCTACGTACCATCAGTTGACCTCCAGGTGGTGCTCGCCAACTTGCAGCGGCAACCGCGAAAATGGCGCGGTACGGTAGGCGACCGATAGACGAAGGTAAAACGTATCCTAACCTCTTTACGTCTTCCTTACACATCGGACATCAATCGTCATTGTAGACACAAGACGGTTGTTGATTCACTTCATTAGAGCCCATATGTTGACGGCCCCCAGATTCAGAGGTTGACGAGGCTTCAGAATCTGCAATTCATTTAGTGGTAAATTGCTTACAGAGCTATTTGGCAGTGAGCTTTGGAGAGTGGGAAACCGGTTGTTTAATGGAATATTACTGGTCGGAAGAACGAGCAAAAGCAGATGATTGGGTACGAAGGACGGGGAATTAAAAAAGAAATCTCTGAGCACTTGATACGATGGGTAATGCGGACCCGATTATCCTGCGTGACAACACGCAGTACATCATTGTTTGGTTTGTGTATGCATTAGTTTTACGGACGGGTCCTGCTAGGGTGTCCAAACACTAAACAAACCCTTCAGTTCTAACAAGAACCTGACCGCAAGGAAGCGCGTATGGCGGAATGGACATCCATCTGATTGGACCCACTACTCTTCCATTTTAGCGGCTGAGAAGTCAACTGGAATTGAGCACAACATCTGGAGGATCAGAAGACTGAACTGAACTTTGCCTGACCTCCACCTTCTGACCTATTAGGTACGATGAAAGACGACACTTAGTTATTTCACTGTCTCTAATCACACGGTAAAATGATCTTGGGGTCCCCATCTAAGGAGCTATCTAAGGAACTATGTACCCAGTGTCCTGGATAGAGTTTTTATAACCTCATGCCAGGTCTTTGCTTGAACGCCCTTGGCCGTTTTCCATTCACTGCCTGCCTCGGCAAAAATCGCTCTTCGTGGCAACCTATTTCGTGACAGGCGCAGGACATGTCCCAACCACCGTAATCTATGGAGGTCAATCACTTGCGATTACCTAAAACTGTACGCCTAACCTCAGCATTGTTCGTCCGGGTTCCCCATCAGATTCGTGCAATGCGACGTAGACAGCGGTGTTCGAACACCGAACACCGTAATGCCCAAGTCTCTGCACTGAGCTGCTGTGGTATATACTCGACCCTTCACAGACAGCCGGAGGTCGCGACGGCACCATAGATGTCTCAAATTGGCAAATACCAAACAAGCCGAAACTTTATCCGTAGGGTGCGATATACCTACTCAGATAGCAAAATTTATCTACGTCCTCTATTACTTCGCCAGTCAGGGTGAGGTTGGGGACTGGACTAACCTAATCTTGAAGGATCATTACACACTTTGAAGGTGCAAAACGCATACCGAACATAAATACACTAGCACTCAAACTTATTTTCAAGTAGCAACAATCCACACCTTTCGCGAAGTTGACCACTAAACTATTCAACTGTTAAATGAATAGCACAACCTTATCGAACGCAAGCTAATGATTCATCAATAATATAAATGCGGAATGGCACGGAAAGCGAACTCACCTCCGGGAAGAGATAGTTTAGGGTGGATATGTGCACCTAATGGACGGGCAGAGTGTAGTAAATCCACGCATTGCGGCTGATCGCAAGGAGGAATCCAGTTGGATGGCGAAGCACCACAACAAAGAATGCACGGTCCGGTATGATGGGGAACACATGAACAGTGAACGCAAGGGTCGTTGTACTCTTTATCTGAAACCAAGGAATATCACAGTATCGGAGAAACTTACTTAACTCCCCAATCAGTCGTGCGCATTTGGGTGACGCGAGATTGTGATAAGAGTGTCGTCTGCGATCACGAGGAGTGAACGGAGTTGCGCGTGAACAAGACGAATCTATATCACATTCGGGATCATGAATAGCCAAACCGGATTTCCATTTTTGCAAACTTGATCTCAGTAAGCGGAAATTCTTGATACACCTGTCACTGCGCTTTATTTCGGAGACCAACCAATGCCAATCAGAACACGATACAGCTCGAGAACACAGCCAGTTTTCTTCATGACTATCAAATAAAAATTGTCATTATTATTGCCAACGAACCTAGAGCATGGCCTCGGTTGAGTTGACGGTTCCTCGTCAGACTCGCTTTCAGTTTCTTCATCGTCTAATAAACGACATAGAGATTCCGGCAGTTGAGTCAGATCATCTACACCAACGGTAAATGTCTCTGGTAGTTTGGCTGCGAGCAGGCGATTCAAAAGAGCGAGTGACCTATCTCGCAATGAATCTAGGCGTTCCGTGCAGACCTCAAGACGTCTTTTACACGAAAATCGACGAGATTCTAAACTTGAGTGTTCATCCGTATGTTGAAGTACGAGACAAGACATCTTTCCACCAGACTCAGGCGGTACAATTTTTTGAAGCCTTGTGGAGCCATCAGGCACATCTGATCGAACGACGTGTTGGTCGTCCACCAGTTCCGGTGTTTCTTTGGAAACATGAACAGTCGAAGCAACAGATAGACCATTAGGAACATGAGGCACTAAGTTGTGTTCCATCACTGTCCGAGGGGCCATGGTTTGGGTGGGTTTTGTGTGTTTTATCTCGTCGAACGCGGTATGTTCACGGATTGGTCCAACTGAATTGGAAGTCGATCCGTTGAGGGAGAATCCAACGTACTGTCTCAACAGTCCATTGACATTGCAAGCGGCCATACATTGAACTGTGGGTTGTCATGCCTGGAGACAGCGAATAAAATCATTTAAATGTTGAACAAGAAATGTATCATACATCCGGAAAAGTTTACAGTTAGCTCTTGTTTTGAGATCTCATACTCTACGATAAATCGTCGCTCAGGTGGACGTGAACTGTCAATGTTAGTAATTCAGAGGAACTAGAAGCTGATCTGGTGATGATGATGAAGAGGAAAGCTTCGCACCGTAACTTACCGAGATGAATTTACCTTCGTGAGAGATGGTTTCCCCGCTACACTGAAGCCCTCGGCATCTTATGGAGCTTGCCATCTCAAGTACCACGTCATTGATACGCATTACCGAATATTGTGCATGTATGAACGTAACTATGTAAGATAATAATGCACGAGTGTCCGCGTGCTGGACACGAAGGTCGATTCTCGTTCATTTACATGGTTTGTACCGACCAATTTACCCGGAGTTCGCTTCACTGTCTTATTGTGCAATGATGACGATGATGAAGTTACTTGCATCCATCAGAATTCCATTTTGGAAATATTAATTCAACCTCCATAGCAAGGCGTTTGGCGTTTCGCGGAAGGGAAGGGAAGGTAGTTACACCAACCGATAGAATACAAAAAAGGCGTCGTATTTGGATTCAACTGGAAAAATCGAAACGAATGACGCTCCTTAGCAGTTACTTTCGGGAATGAGAGCATAGAATAGTTCCACCAGGGGAAAGCGCGACGCAATTAAGGAGCCCTAATACTGCTACCACTCGACTATCATTATTCGCATCCGCCGTGGAGCTGAGCAAAAAAATGTTTCAGTTTCAGTTTGTACAGCCCTTAATCATGCACTTAATTTCGACAGTTCTGGTTGGTCTTTGGGTGAAGGGGTAGAAGACTGGAATGTTGCATGCAGTGTCGAAGAGAAAATATATATTATATTTATATTTTCACACGTCTGAATCCAGACCTTGTGCCAAACAAATCGTGGTACAATAATCTCTATGAAGAAAGACGTTCCATGATTGGCTTGTGGACTGAATACTGGCAGGTTGCCGAGGCCAAGGTGGGTGAATTCTCTTGGTGAATTCACAACCAGAGCCTTGGGCTAGCCANGAGCCGGTGACCACTGCCACAACCAGGAAGTTGTATGTGGTACGCCTCTTCATGGTTGGTTTGGAATCAGGGTTTTTGATCAACTCCCCTAGGTGAACTACCATTGGTCCATCAACCCGGTTATAGCCCCGGATATCGGCTTTTCGTCCTCTCACTTTGGTGGGAAAGCACCGCCACGACAAGACAGAG